GACCTTGCCCTTTGTTATACAATATTATTCCCTTTATCATAGTTTGTTTCAATATAAATATGCATTGTCATAATAAATTTTGAATACAAACAAGTTTTGGGGTTGAACCAACAGTGGGGAATCAGTCTACTGAATGTCCTTGATAGATGTAAATATTTTAAAAAAACATTGGTGCCTAATTTGTTTAGGGACATAATTTCAGTAATTCAGATATTTTAGTATAAAAATCTTAGCTGGCTTTTGTCCAAGTATTTTGTACAGGTGTATGTCATAAATTAATGATTCACTGAGACAAACATGAACTGCCTTATTATATTCATTGTGTGACTACTGTATTATATGAAAAGTAAAGAAAAACGCCCCCAATGAATAGCTATCATGTTGCAAGCTCTGCTTTGTATGCAAATCAACTTAAATAGTTAGTTGGAGAGAAGTGGAGAGAGAGGTCAACAGTACTGTTGAATTTACATCTTCAAACACTGCAATCTTTGTTTTTGAAGTGTGTTTTTAAATTATTATTATAAAAGCGCTATCATTATGTTCTAATAGCTGAAACAAATTCCTGTGAATTTTCATTTGTCATTGAACATCATTTTACTTTTCTGAATAATCGTTGAGACTGCCGTGAACGGGGTGTGAACGAGCAAACTATTCTTCGACATGATTTGTTAGAGACCGTGAATGGTTTAAATACTTCCTCCACCCTCAGTTTACCTTTCGAAAAATTGCGAGTCAACAGCTTTATGGAAAACAATCACCGTTTTTTTGTCAAAATCGGATCGTATTTTAACATCGCGGTAATTCACTTGCGCATTGCTTCATCAATAATCGGAAACTTCGTCTGTACGACACAGCATTTTGATTGGTTAACGAAAGACGTGACCTGTTAGGTCAAAGGAAGTTGTTCAGGTCAAATCATGATTAAAAACCCAATGGCGGAAATTGCTTTGTATCGATCGTTTGCGTACGATCGAAAACATTCCAAGACGAAGATAATGATAAAGATCTTGCCTTCGACAGTTTTCCCACAGATCCTACCCATTTTTGCACTGTAAATTCAGACAGTATGTAAATCGTATTGTAATAAAATGTGTGTATTTTTATGAACATGTCAAAAAGACGTAATATTTCTCCGAGACCGGTGCTGTGAACGAAAAATGTAATTTGGATAATTTTTTATAGTGAGAAGATGGTTACAATTTTAAACCCCCCAAAAAATTATTTTTTTCTGAGGTGGTCTATGAGCATAAGCCCACCCCCTAATTTTCCCAATTTTACATGTTCAGGCCCCTGGGCTTATACGGGAAGTACGGTATATTTTAGTACAATTTTCTTTTCAAAATGTGAATGTATGATCAGAGTGCAAAACAGTGAGGTCTGAAATAGACAATCTACCGGTATTGTTGATGTGCAGTCAAGTAAACTGTAACGCTATACAGGCATGAATTATTTACCCATACATTCTAACGATTGTTGAACCCGGATGGCCTTTTCTTACCCCATCACACCCATATTGAATTACGACGTGAGTAAATACAACATTCAGTTACTTTGATATTGGTGACAATAATTGAGCACTTGTAAACTTGACAAGAAACTTTGTGTTTTAAAGTGTTGAACATTATGCATTTGTGGAAGGGCACAGCAGTTGTGGCAATTTTTTTTCTGCTGTAAATGTTTATTTTCGTTTGTTACGTCAAATTTTACACAAGAATTTTGATTCTGATTTGCTTCTATGCTGTTAATGGCCCATCCCTGACATACTAATGGTCAACCCTTAAATATTCTACCGTTTCTTCCATGTCCATGAAAAGTACAAAAAAAAAGATTTAAAACAAACATGTCCACCAGTTGGTAATTTGTATTCAAATCACAAAACAAAACATTGTGTGTTATAAAATTAGTCAAGGCATGCCCTTTAGAAAAGGTTGTTCAAGGGTTTACTTTAGCCTGCAGTCAGTTAAAATACCACAAAAACCACAAAAAACCAAGAAGAATATTCCCTCTATGCCTCTACGGCAAGCCCAATGAAAATTACTTAAGTTATTGTATTTCGGCCTACTCTCTTTAAATAAATTCAGATCATTGTATCCCGCCTTTTTATCAAATTTAAACTAAATGTGAGAAATGTGTCAACAAAAGTCAACAAAATGGAAAATAAATCAATAAAGGATTAAATCATACCTTCATGTCCAGTTTCATTGACTTTATAAGTCCAATCTTTACCGGCTTTCAATAGTTCATCTGAAGTATGTAGCTTGGAAGTAAACAATCCTACGAACATCTTCTTAAAAGTCAACACTTCCATGTTTTCAGTCTCAGGATAGTAAACAGCCGTGACCTCGCCATGGTAGGTCATGACAAATGAGAACCTGGAATAGGAGACAATTTTAATTATCTTGTTAGAAGCAATCACCGGTTGTGGAGGGGCATGACGAATGAGAATCAGGAATAGGAATTAGTTTGCTTAGAAGAACTTTTTATATTATATGTAATGGAAATGGACAATGTTTGGAATTACTACCTGTCGGTACACCCAACGCGGGTAACTATTCAGTTGGGCTGTTGAAAGTTTCAAGTTGTGGTCGGGTAGATTTTTTGAGAAAATAAATAAAATATTACTTTTTTACAAAAAGTCAGAAAATGTCTATGGATGTATGATTATTGTCAAAATTATGTACCCAGATGTCTGATGTGACTGTTTGGACACATGTAAAACAACAACAACAATCTACATGTACGGTATAACAAATCCATGATTTAGCTCATGCTCACAATATCCGCGAGTAAAAGTTGACCCAACATTTTCAGAGCGGGGTTGACATCTTATTCTGTTTTGTGTTTTAACACTGTATTTTTAAAATGTTGTGCCGGTTTTTAGGAATCGAGCCTCCAACAAAGAAGTAAAAAGTAAAATGTGACTCCAAACAGGGGAATAGGGTATATGATAAAACCAAAAGTATATGTTAAACTGTCCCATCGTGGGAATTCAAGTGGATGATTACACCAATGGTACTGTCAACAAACAGACAGTGTATTGTAAGGCATTTCTGACTTGAATGAAAGTCACTGCAGTGACACTGATTGAATGAAATGTAGAGAAACGATTAAAAACATAAACAAGTTACCTGCCCTGTTGTCTGGTAAACCATTTTGACAAATTTCAAACACTGAAATAGAAGATTTATACACCTAACATCTATGCCAGTAAAGAAGTTATTTTCTTGTTCACTTACCACTTCGTCATGTGCCAACCTCTGGAATGAGGAAGAACTTCACCTAAACAAACAAACAAACATAGATATTAAATTCCTGAACTTGGATAAGGAAAAATGATTTAAATATATATTACAATCAAAACATAAAGACACTAAATATGTTCTAAAAACTATCAAATCTTTTGGAATCAGACCAGACATGTATTCTATGAAGGAATGACCATTATAAACTCAGTATATGGTGTGTTTTGAAAAAAAAATTTCAAAACTACAGAAAAAAAAAATTTATAAAATACATCCCATACACATTTGAAAGAGATCCACAATAATAAAAATTACCAAAATATCATGATGGAAAACCTTGTTTAAATCCTACTGAAGAAATATAAATAATAGTTGTTCTCTATTCCTCCCCCTCCAATGCGTCAACTAAAATGAAAACCACCTTACAGTCCACATTCTTCTCATGTGTATAAAGGAGTAAATCAAAATTTCAATGATGCTACACTGTAGAGACAATGGAATATAGCGGTACACTGAATTCTTGTAAACTATTCATACCTTTCGGAGTGTCATGGTCCAAAACCTGCATTATAGAAATGACATGGAGTCTACAGTGCTGTCCATTTCCCTCATCCTCAAGCAAAGAAATTCCAATCTAGGAAAAAAAAATATTTATCATCAGTAATTATTGCTACAATTATAAAAAATTAGTAATTAGTTACTTGGGAAGTGATTTATATGTTTCAGCTCAGAAAACTAATAAGCAGACTGGCAACGCAATTGTTTAGAGGTGACAATCGGCCTAATCCCGGCCGAACATGTGTCTCGGCTACGAATTTTGCTGAATAGCGAGTACACACATTGGAAATCCTCGGTCTCATGTGCATTTTAGCCATTTCAGCTGGGAGTGTGAGAACATGCTCTGACTGACTAGTCCGAGAATGGAGGATATTGATCTTCATGCATTAGTTTATGTTTAGTTGACTTCTTGGTCACCAATTTACACCTATGATGGGGATTTGCATTTTAATGAACCCAAGAAAAAAGGGGTATGATTTATCTTTGCATCAGTTGTAATGTTAAGCTTTATAGTAAGTTCTTAACACTGATGTCATGCTCTATTTGAAGTAACGTACGTCTCTAATATTGAGATGTACAATGTAGAAACAATGTGATCCACATCATTGAAGTTTATAAATACTTACAGAAAATAATTGATTGCACATCTGATTTGATTGTACATCTGATTTGATTGTACATCTGATTTGATTGTACATCTGCGGTTTGTTGTCTAATTTATTCCAGAACACCTCAACCACAAGTTCAATTTAAATCTGATTTTTTTTGAGATATCAGAAAATTAATCAGGTCTCTATTATTGTTCCTAGCCACATATAAAGTATATACCAAGTCTTATTGAAATACAATAATTTTTTGAGATATAGGTAGAAAAATTGTAATTATGCAAATTAATAAATTATTATGCATAGATTTCAACCCAAAACTAATTACATGTAGGTCTGTGTACTGTTCTGGGGCACACAAAATTACCAAAAAATGAAGAAAATATTCACTAAAATAAGAGAACTACAATTATCGTCAAGAAAATCAACAAATCTGAGAGCTCGGGCAATTCGTTTTCAAAAATAATATTTTCCAAGTCAACAGAAGAGCTTAAAAAAAACAGTTACCAGTAATATAAATTAGCTTACTAATCAGCATGAATTTGACTAAAATCTAAAGATTAGAAAAAAAGTCTGCAAATCCATCTAATCTACAAAAATTTGGTTGAAATTCATAAAAATAATTATATTAATTTGCACATTACCCCCATTGTACATATATTTCAAATTGAATCAAAATCTGCTATGAAATTTATTGAGCAGACACACAGACATACATATGAAAATTTGTGCTTACAACTGGTTTTTAATCCGTGTCGAAAACGTGCACAGAATGGTCGTTTTGTGCATGTTTTCGACACGGCTTATCAGCCACCTCAAGTGCCAAATCCATGAAATAAACAACCAATGTCAATAGAGTAGCCTAGGTGTTAAAATGGCAAACCAACTTCTGCATAGGTATGTCTCTAAACGCATGCTTTTTGGTTGATATAGTCATCTTCTTTGAACTCAGAAGCCCTCAAAACCTAATATTACATGTGAGAACGAAACAAATCCGTCGAGATTTCACGTTTCCCCCGTAAAAGGATGCTGACTGTTCCCTCTCTGGACTCCCTCCCCGTGTATACTAGTACTGGTACTACCAACTCTAACCATGTCCACATTTTGGTGACGCATGTCAAGCTATAAACGGGCATCAATACTCATTTCGCCCAATACTAGTATTTTGCTTTTATAACATTTTAATCAACAGCATATCGCTTAATTTCCGACCGGAAAAACGACCATGTTTTTATTCCTTTTTTTTTCTCACTCGCTTATTAAAAACACTGACCGCTTGTTCAAACACTGAACACTGGCACATGAGTTGTCGAAATGGTTGTTTTAGTGCTAAATTTTGAGGATTCAACGAGTATTAACTATTATTTAATTTCGAACGACACTTCCAAACCATCATGCTTTATTTGTTTCGTTCGCGAACGCAACTTGAATTATAGCCTCTTGTTATGTGAACGTTCCACAACAAGCTGATAGAGCGAGACTGTGTTCCGTTTGAATCCAGGGCTGCTACCTCGTTTCAACAATATGATTATCGAGACATTCACGTGATACAGGCAATGCTAACTCCTTAGGGCAGAGAGCAGAGACACCAGGAACATATTGATGCCACGGCCATGTATTTAAAATGCGAGCGTGCAGACGGGCGAATTTTTTCTGGGTTCGCGCGGTCGAAAAATTAAGCGGAAATTATTCAACATGCGGTTGCAAAAGCGAGTAAAAATAATGATCGAAAAGCAGAAGCGAGCAGGAGGTTGGGTGAAATTAGTGCTGTACATTCAGGTCCTTTGTAAAAATACGATCGGCCAAGATCTATATCATTCTGAAGCACGCAAGAGACAGACAAAATGCAGTTTTAAATATTGACACCGTTCGTATTTTTTAAATGAGCCAAAAAAAAAATGGTATGCTGCTTAAGCGATGATTGATCGAAACAGACTCGTTTTGCAAGTTTTAACGGCTACGTTCTACTGAAGATATAAGACTTCACTTTCGGAGTTATTACCGAAGATAATGTACGACAGCAAAAAAACAACAACATTTTAGTTATGTGAAATGGATTAGCATTAATGTAGGTCCAATCAGTACTGTTGTATCGTCTATTTTGTCAACCGAACGTTACTACCCGGACCTGCTCGTCGATTATTATTGCAAATGTCATTTTTTTCTCCCTGGTCAATGAACACAGAATCAATTGGATATAAGTACTAGTACGTTATTTTAGAATGATTTTCATTTGGTTTCACGTGATAGTTAATCTGATTTATCATATAGCATTACAAACAGGAAGTCCTCGGCATGGGTCAGAGCATGGAGCTAAACAAAAATCTTTTTTTAGCTCCATGGTCAGAGTACTAATATACCCAAGACCACTCGTTTTGATGAATGGTCTGGGTGTGGCTTGTGGGTAAGAATAGAAAATGGATTTCGGTGAGGTTGTGATTATTTGATTTTTGAGAACGGATTTTTACTATTGAAATGAAATTATCACGTCTAGGGGTGAATTGTTAATAGGTGAAGTGATGTTAAAAACATAAGTAGTTTATCGTCTTGCGTACACCGCAACAACAAAGGTTTATTTTTCAACACAGATCTCCAGTCAAGAGGGTGGCTTTTGGACATAACCCCGGAGTTAAACCATAGACAATATAGTAGGAAGGACAAGCAACTCCAGCGATTCTATTGTAGCAGGGTAGGCTAACGAAATTAACCGTTAAATGTTTATTTCGATTTCTCGTTAAATGCGTGTTTTTAGGCGGCGAAAGTCGTGAACTCTCGCGAAATGCGTAATTTCGTTGACGAGAGTTGCCTACGGTATTCTAAATGGCCGTTGCTGATCACGAGTTCCTGTGTGTAGATGATTTGCTCGATGTTTTTTTTTTCGGATTTTGATGACGGTAGAAATGATAGTGAAGAAGATCCAAACGCAGCAGACAACCCTGTGTGTGTGATTCAGAGCCCGGGCATCAACATCGAAAATAGCAAAGATTTGCGTTTTCTTGATCGTCACGTAAAAGAAACCCTTTGAAACGCTAACAAAAAACCGAAAATAGTGAAAATAAAATAATAAAGAAAATCGTGTCTCATTCATACACAAGTATTCGAGTTATTGTGTTGAAATTTTTAATAAAAACAGGGTACAACGTAGGTAGACGTGCATTCAGACTGAAAGACTGGACGTGTAGTCAAGATGGCGACAGACGTGAAAACGGAAGTCTATTTAAAAAAATGCGAGACAGAGAACAACAAAAAATAAGCGTAGTCGGTGAAAATAACAAAATTTGAATATTCATGCATCATGAAAACAATAATATTCGTGTATTTTGTCAAATACGGGGTACAAACTTACACAAGCATTCCGTTTGAAAGAGTGTGAATAGATGACGACAGACATGAAAACGGACGGATTGAAAGTTAATTTCAAAAAAAGTGCAAGACAGAGAACAACAAAAAACGAGCACAGTCGGTGGAAAATAACATAATAAGAAGATTCATGCATCATGAAAACAAAAGTATTCAAATATGTTGTCGAAAACGGGGTACAAACTGAATATAGCATGTACGGAAACATTACTGCCGTCTGAAACTAACTTTTAATTTTATTCAATTAAACAGGAACATATATATTAAAAGTAATATTTACTAGTGAACCACGTTCACAATAACCTGATAACTATGTATTGTGTGTTCGAAAGATGCGTATTGCGGAAAGAAAACGACTCGTTTGGGGAAAGATACTTGTAGTTCGATACGAAAGTAGTGACATCGCATCGAAGTAAATATGACGTCATTGTTTACTGGCTCAATATAATATTCCAGCCCAGCTTGCGTTGGGCATACGGCGTTTGACTTTGGTGTTACTATAATACTACTATACTGTCTATGGTTAAACATGGCCCAAATTGATAGGGAGTAAAACACGGAAGTGGAAGAGCTGTCCATGCAATGACCAATCACACAAGAGCTCACAAACACCAACGAAATATTTTTTGTTGTACTTAACAAAGGGGTTTGGCACTAAAAACAATGGAACGTTTATAGGCTTAACGTTGGGTTTAGATCCCCTAGAAAGAGTTGTAAGCACCAATTTTCATATGTAAACAATGACATTCCAAACTTAGTACCTCCCTACACACACGCAGGAGCTAAAAAAAACAATTAAATCCTATAGCGTGGCATGAGTACACGCTGGGACAAAATTATTGTGGAACAAATTCTAGATTTCAAAAGGCTAATGCTCGTATGAACCAGGATACGAACACAGCATT